GTACTGTTAATATTCTTTATCAACACCATAATTCATATGCATCATTATTCATTATTCAGCTTTCACATGCATATGAGGTGATTGAATATATCATGGCTGGGATCAGGAGCACCGTATTTCTCAAAGTGACATCTGACCTCTTTAACCCTTTAAAGAGGTCTTTTGCAGCAAATTTGTCCAATGCAATGCAATATGCCATTCGATCAATGCTTCCGTGAGTATTGATTGTGGGTCAAAGTACAATGAAATCCTTCACCACTTCAATCTTTTCTCCATTTATGATGATGTTTATTGGTCTAATTGTGAGAATGTTTGCTTCATTTATATTGCACCTTAATCCCTGGTGAAAACTGTGTTATTTGATCTTCATCAGTAAGTGCTTCAAGCAAGATTGTGTTATGTGCCTATCACAGGTTGTTAATGAACCTTCCTTTAATCCTGATACTGAATTCTACTTGTCTTATTTGCTCAGCATACAGATGGAATAAGTATGGTGAAATGATAACAACCTTGGCACTCACCTTTTCTGATTTTAAACTAGGTCCTTGTTCTGTTTGAACTACCACCTCTTAGTCTGTGTACAGACTCCACATGAGCACAATTAAATGTTCTGAAATTCCCATTCTTTGCAATATTATTCATAGTTTGTTGTGATTCACACAGCCAGATTCTTTGCACAGTCAATAAAGTACAAGTTAACATCTTTCTGGTATTCTCTACTTCTTACCCAAGATCCATGTGGGTCAACGATGATGTTCCGCATTGCACGTCCTTTTCTGAATCCAGCTTGAATTTCTGGCAGCTGCCTCCTGCAACCATTTTTTAAATTGTTTTCAGCAAGACTTTACTTGTGTATAATGTTAATGATATTGTTCAATCATTTCCTTATTGTGTAGGGCCACTGTTCTTTTGAATGGGCAAAATATGGGTCTCTTCCAGTCGGTTTTCTAGGCTGATGTCCTCCAGATTTCTTGGCATACACAAGTAGGTGTTTCCAGCATTACATCAGTTGCTTTGAAACATTTCGATTGATACTCCGTGGATTCCTTGTGATTTGTTTTTTGCTGATGCATTTAGTGTAGCTTAGATTTCTTCCTTCAGTACTTTCGGTTATTTATCATATGCTACCTCCTGAAGTAAGGAGCTCTGGTAGTGTAGTGGTTACGAATCGGACTGTGAACCTTAAGGTCAGCGGTTC